ACAGCACCACTTCACCACCAATGAGTGGGCCTCCATGCGAGACCTGTGTGCCATGTTGCACTGTTTCGAGTACTCCACGAACATGGCCAGTGCCGCTGACGACGTTCTCAGCCTTACTATCCCGCTTCTATGTCTCCTTGAAAAAACGCTTCAGGCGATGATGAAAGAGGATGTGGCACAGGAGGAAGAGGAGGAGGAAGAGAGGTAATTTCCATGGTTATCAGGCCAGTCATTCACAAGTGGCTCGGTGGGTGGGTTCCTGCAGTAGCATAGGCAAGGTACACAATTGTCCAGCCAGGGCACAGTTCTGGAGGATGAGGAGGAGGAGGAACCGTGTTCACAGCAGGGTGGCACCCAACGCAGCTCATGGGCATCACTGGAGCATGGCTGGGGGGATACAGAGGACACAGACGATACGCCTCCCACAGAGGACAGCTTGTCCTTGCCTCTGGGCAGCCTGGCACACATGAGCGACTACATGCTGCAGTGCCTGCGCAATGACTGACGAGTTTTCCCACATTCTAACTTGTGCTGATTACTGGGTGGCCACCCTGCTGGATCCCTGTTACAAGGACAACGTGCTGTCCTTAATTACCTCACTGGTGCGTGATCGGAAGATGCGCGACTACAAGCGCACGCTGGTAGGCGTGCTGCTGAGGGAATTCCCAGTTGACACCGGGGGCTCAGTGGAAGCACAAGATGAAGGCAGAGGAGGAGGAAGAGGTCGCCAGGGCTCCGTCAGCACCTCACAAGGCAGGGTTGGCACGGCCGAAATGTGGAAAATCTTTGTCAGCACGCCACAACACCGGCTGATATGGAACGTCTTAGCAGGAGGCAGCATTTCAGCAACATGATGGAACAGTACGTGTGCACATGCCTACACGTACTGACTGATGGGTCTGCCCCATTCAACTTCTGGGTTTCCAAACTGTGCACATGGCCTGAGCTTGCCCTTTATGCCTTGGAGGTGCTGGGGGGGCGTTATCACAGACAAGCGCAGCTGCTTGTCCACAGCCAACTCCTCCTCCACCACCGCTTCCACCCACACCGCCACGGTCACCGCCTCCTCAACCTCCTACTCCACATCCACCTCCTCCTCCTAGTTGAAGATTATTATTTTTTATTTTTATGTATTTCATGTAATTTTAAGTTATTTCCCTATCCACATTTGTTTGTCCTACTCTTACCCCCATTTTACTTCCTTTTGCAGCCCTCTAGCCCTTTCCAGGACTTTTTTAGAGCCATTTTAGTGCCCAAAAGTTCAGGTCCCCATTGACTTCAATGGGGTTCAGGGTCAAGTTCAGGTGTCCGCTCATCTCTATTCATGAATATATATCTAAAGATCCTTTACGCTTGCGTGTTTCATTCAAATTCATTGCACTGGAATAGTTTATCCCAAGATTAGCCACACTATACATGGAATCAGCTGAACAACCAGCTGATCACAGCCAATAAATGCCTTTTGTTTCACCACCATCTGCCGAATACATAAACATACTTTACCATTCAAACTCATGATAGTGATTGAACATCTGCAAATCTAGATGCCATTGGATGGTATGTCTGCATTGATGAATGTCAAACTATCAATGTTACTGAACAAACACATAGTTACTCAGATGTGGGTGCAAGGGTCCTGTCATATTAACCCTAAAATATAAAACATTGCAATTCATTGTTTACATTGCAATGTTAAATCCACCTCTAGTGGCTGTCTCACGGCACTGACTGAGTAAAACGGTGATCTGGTAATGAAATGCGGCAGATAGCAGCATGTGATTGGAGAAGCACAGAGTTTGGCTCTACAGACATATCTCCAATGCATTGCTTCTCTGTAAGAAGCAATGGATTTTAGTAGATCATGAAGACATCAGTAGGCATTCTGACGTCTTTGAAAGTGCCACAGGCGGCTGCAGCAGAAAAGTCCTGGCACCGGGAATGAGAGGAGTAATCTTTATTTTACTTACTTTTTGAAATACAAATAGGGGGACAGAACTGAACCTATAGTCCAGAAATAATAATTGTTTTTTTCGGGACTATAAGATCCCTTTAAACAAACATAATTACAGTGCAATGGTTTTATTTTTCTAATCAGAACTATCTATAGTAGTGAACAGACTCAGGAGCACCAAATTAAAGTCCGTGTTCTGGAGATAGGGCCGTGTGTCGAGGTTTAGCCACATGACAATGAAATGATAATGATAATCTCCAAGACTTTGATAAAGGGAGAACTGTTGGGAATTGAAAACTGAAGACAGAATAGTTGAAGTGGAATAACGCCAAGCCATTTTTGTTTCCGTTCAGCTATTCTAGTGGAATACCTTGAATTTCCTTTGAATTCCCCACAGTTCTCACTGTGCGCTGATATGGACAATATAACTTTACTTTTATGCCTAAAAGAAAAAACAAATGGATAGGAACAGATTATTGAAACCAGGTTTGCAAAGTTTGAAGTTTGATTTAGCATTGTGTTATGGTCATTTTTGTAAGAAGACTAAGCAGCACGTGGACTGTGTAAAATGGTCGTTGAGAGCCAAGCTGAAACAACTGATAGATAATATGCTTAACAAAACACAAGTTGAAGACAGATGATCTATAGTAGGAGATGCACACACTAGTGTTGTTCCACATTGTATGGATGGAGCTGACAAAAATATATATACATACCTTATTGTATCTTATGATCACCTAAAAACATTCAACACTACACCTGGTGCCTGTGGAATACATTTATTGTTTAACCCCGTAAGGACACATGACGTGTGACATGTCATGATTCCCTTTTATTCCAGAAGTTTGGTCATTAAGGGGTTAAACTTGTAATTCCCTCATAGTGGCTCTCTTCAGAAAATTTGGCTAAATATAAATTTTGTAGGAGTTTTGTCTACAACTAAATCTCAACAGTTCAAATGACTGGAGCCCACTGTGTTGAAAATTCATTGTCAG